TCTCGCGCGAATTTCTCCGTAGCCGCCGCTTCTTCGTCATTCACCGCCGCGGGCGGCCATCCGCGCAGAACACAGTAATGAGCCCTGGAGCCACAGAGGCTGACGGAAGGTCATACTGGACCCGGCACAGGTGCTGCGGCAGCGTCGCATTCCCCGAACCAACAAAAAGTGCTCTGCTGCTCCCCCATGCCACAAATCTGTAGGGTGCGCGCGGATTATCTCCACGGTACACTGTCACATGGTCTGTAGACGACAAGGAGCCACCCGGTCCTCGTGTTTGCGCGGAGGAGCCCGTGAGAATAGTAGAAATATTCCTTCTAGGTACTCCACTCCGGAATGCCCATCCGTTACACCGAAGGTTTTCTTCCCCCCCCCCCTCCTTTTTTTTTACGCGTGGGTTTGAGAAACGAGCGAAAACATCTTGAAAGGACCGGGGTTCAGTCCGTGTTTGCGGGGACGTCACACTTAGAAGGTGCAAGAACACTGTAACACGTGAATTTTCGGAGGCGTATCAAGCTGCGGTGCGGTAGACGGCCGCACTGCGCAGCTTCAACCTCCAGGATCAACTGTGGGCCATCCGGCAAGCCCGCGAGGCGGCGAGGAGATCCGGTCCTCCTCAGGAGAAGTCTTGGCCCAAGTCACGAATTTGTGCATCCGTGACACGTTTATCACCCTAGAAAAAACAGAAGGGCAATTATTTGATTTTTTTCGCTATCGTGATGTCATAAGCATGGGATTGATCACCTATGCCTTGCGCAACTGCATACATGTCTGCATGATTATAAAAACGAAGCTGTTTCTGTTGTTCTCTTTTTCAAATAAAGTCAGTTGGAAGTTGGCGCTCTATCTTATCCCCTTCCTTTTTTTTTTGTTTTCGTCCACGTGGGTTTGCGACCTTAACTTTTCTTCAGAATGAACCAACTAGCCCAACAACATGTTCTAGTAACTTACAAGCAATCGGACTAGTCTTCATAATCTTCCAGTTTCACTCTTTCAAGCCTTGCGCGGCTTAGTGCATGCTTCACTATTTTCTTTTTATCTTCAAGGGACCGGCTTACGTCCACCCAATGCCTCATGTCGCATGGTCACGCAGTGATAGGCATAAAACAAGGCTAACAATGATATAAACCAGTGCTAAACAAGTCGACAGGGTCTGACGTGATATGCCGTGCTGAAATAACCAAGAGTTAATCGCAATATTTTGCGTAAAATCACTAAAACGCTTCCGAAAGATCCGGCTGATACCCGCGCCAAGCAAGAGAGGGCGCCACTATACTAGACAAGCGTGCAATGGCCAAGGGAATCATTAGGTTGCTTGTTGTTGTTGTTTTCCTGTGCAAATGGCTCGTACCCAAAGGAGGGGATTGGCCGATTATAAGGTGAATTTGCCCTATACTTTCAGCATTGCGTCGCTTATGCTACGCACTTCCTCGTGTTTCACGGTTGTGCAGCTGCAGGATTTAGAACACTAAGGCCAACGCAAGAAGGACATTAGCGCAGGAAAGATAGACCAAAACCTACACAGATAGAGATTTATTATGATAAAAAAGCTGAGATGTCAGCCAGAATCAATTTTCTGACCTGCTATTCAGCGTAAGGTAAAAGAAGAGGGTCGTAAAGCAAAAAGAGAGAAAGTGTTGATGACGAGGAGGATGAAGGCGATGATGGATCGAAACATTAAATGTCAAAAACCCACACAAACACTGCAGTAGTGCTACATGAACTACAAGGCTTTATTTGGCTGGGCTGGGCCACATGACTTTCCTACCTCGATTTTTTTTCTCCTCCATCTACCAGGCATAGTGTTATCAAGTTAACGGCAATCAAACGGCCATAAAATCGAATGCGTGTAGGACACGCTCACAATACGTTTCACCGCACGAGGACAGCCCATGCTGTATAAAGTTTGTAATTGTGAATAACCCCTTTTCTCACGAGGAAAAAAATAAAAAAAAAAACACCGCTATGATGGGCTGCACGAGGGAGTACAAAGGCTGGAGTCTCAGCCTCGGCAGTACATTTTTGGGGGTGTCACGCCATTTTGTGCAACCCAGAATTGCCTATGACGGCGCCCAGGGACCCGTTTTCTAAAAGGTCTGCCGGCCGTTCACCGCAAGACGGCATGCCATGCTGCACGCTCTTGATTGGGATCCGCAGGGTGCTTTCTCCAGCGATGGTCGACGTGAAGACGCCAGCTCCGCACACCTTCTGCACCTCCTCCCATAGGCATGCTTGCTCAAAGTTCACCGTTTGAAAAAAAAAAAAAAAATGGGGGAAGGCACTTCAACATGATGCCGTCACTTTCCCCTTTTCACATTGGTCGAATCCAAAACTTAACAAGCTCCGCTGTGGTTGTGAACAAAGGTGAAAATGGGGTGACGACGTGTTTCTCACAAAGGCTTGTCATTGGTCCCCAGCTTTCCGGACTAAATGTGGAAAGCAAGCGGATCTTTGAATGCAATATTAGGGGTCCTTGGTCGTCTGTATTGTCCAAAGGTATGTGTAACGATAACCCGGTGCATTAAAAAATTACGTATTAGGTCCGACTAAGTGATGATTTAGAGGTGGAGGGGGGACGGAGCCGAACTGCTTCCTCTTTCCTCGGGCGCACGCCCATGCTCTGTTAACCTTCCCATGCCTTTCTCTCCCTTCCATAAGCGCACTCTCTAACTCACTATCTTTCAGCAATTTTTATATACTTTTTGAAATTATGTACCATTCAATACATTAGATAAAAACTCCCAACCTGGGTCGAGCTACAAATTACTAAGGCCATACTTTTGTGTTTACCTTGAGATGCATGAAATACGTCATGGCCACCATGTTGCCAGCATGTTGCTTATTCAAATGTTTGCACTTAAAACTGGCAACATTGTGTACAATTTTTATTAGTTTTTATCAAATTTTTAATAAACATTATAGCTTCATTTTTGCTTTTTATATAAAAGTATGAAATATTTAAATTTCTTGTTTGTTATGTCCAAGATGTAGTTGCTTTTTTTTTTTGCGCGCGAACTGTATGATTGTTGTCATTTTGAAATTATTGCGTCAGCCGAAGTGCGCTGTTCTGCTTTTGTGCTGCACTGGCTGAATGAAATACTGACGGAACAACATATGTTTACGTTATCACTGTTTCAGTGAAAGATAAGAGAAAAATTGCGCGCAATGGGCTTGTCTGGCCTCCAAGAATCGCAAACACTTTGTCTAGTCAACGCTTTTTTTTATTAGAGGGGGCGCTGGTGTAGTTTAGAACAACGTTCCTAGAACTAGGTAAGGTGCAAAACTCCCCGCGTCAAACTACCCGTCACGCGACGCAAAGACAGCTTCCGGTTTGATGGCGCTGGCAGCGCATTAAGCTTCCGCTAGCAGACAAAAACGCGTAATCATTGTGTCGAGACGTCGTGGCGGCCGCTCTGAAAAAGCCTTGCCAACAGTATATTATCAGGATTTGCTGTTGTACTGCCACAGAAACTCAATACTGTGCAATATTTAGCGGCGTAAGGCAAATACAGTATAATTACCGCTTTCTGAACTGCCAAAGATAAACGATGCTTCATATATGTATATCGCATAACATTACGAGTCTTTCTGTTAGTTGCTAGTTGGTTTACGTTCGCGATTGATCTTTAGGCGCAAAAAAAAAACAAAAACAAATTACAATGTCTTGTATCCTCTCTTGCGACTGTGTTTTTCATGCCTTAAAATAAATTACAACTATTTGGCGCAATACCGTGGCTTTTGTCTGGTTCTGTAGCCAGATTTTTTTTTTCATGTAAGTCACATTCTTTAGCAACTTAAACGGTCGAACAGCTGCAAGTGCGGCCCTTTTCTTGAGCATGTCTTCCATCTGCAACTTCTTGAGTTCCTCTAATAAAACCTGTTAACACAGTTGAAGCCAAAACTTCTAGCAGGGACCGCACTTTGGGTTATTGGTGAGCACTTCTTAGTCATTACTTACGAGGCTGCTTGCTGACACACTAGGGCAACATGAACACACTTTCAGCTTTTGTATGCCCTCCAGAAGTTAGGCCAATTGGGTGACGGTATCTGCATACCTGGCCGACTGGGTTAAGCGATGGTGACGGCTGCTAATGGTGACTGTCATGTCTTCTGCCTCGACTACACATTTCTCGTCAAATAGCGCTCCTTTTTCTTCTCTGAACGCTAGAAACACCTCAACACGTCTTGTCTCGCCATTCTCAACAACGTTCCGCCAGCATGCAGCATGCAAACAAACGTTTTCAATCTCTTGAAGCGAAGTGACGCCACTCGTCGACGGCATGTCGGGACTTATTTCACTGTCTTCGAGCGCAGTAATCGGCGATAGTTTATTCTTTTTCACCGATGATATTCTAGAAAGTAACCCACTTCTATCCGGCAGCTTTCGCGCGCTTCTTTGTCGGGGGTTTTGATAGATAAGCGGGTAAATTCGGGAATACCCGTGGAACCCATCCTTTGACGAGGTCCCACTTTCCTCTGGGTATTTGTACCGTGTTTCCATTGATGACGTGAGTGAAAGTCTTCAGGATGTCTTCCTTATGAAAGTGTACGTCACACACACGTGATGTGCTGGGCAGTTTCTTATCCGCACGAGGAATAGCGGGGTCCCATGGCTTTCGCTGCTCAGGTACACGCGGGGCACAAAATAAACGTCGTGGTACTTGTCTTTCATTTCCTGTAGCCACTCGTACAGCTGGAACGCAACGTGTGGGCATGATGAAAACACGCAACACATACAAAGCAGAACAGGGCACGCTAAAGCACAAAACTGTTCACGCAGAAAGAAGCCTCCACGGATAGCGACGCACTGCAACATGCACAGCCGACGCAGGTTACGGGAGTGGCAAGAGCGAGCATGCAGTGAGTGAATCCGGATGCGACAGCAGCGCCACATTTGTCTCTGGCAGCGGCGGCACCGCGCAACATGGCTTAGTTTTGCTACTTACCTAGTTCTGGAAACGTTGGTTTAGAATACCACGCATGCGCTTCGCCGCGTCATTGCTTTGTTCCGCAGACTCTGCTTGACATCGACCTTCGAGTCCGGCGACGAGCGCTACTAGACCTGCCAGTTCGCCACTATACTGAGAACGTGCAAGTACCTGCATGCGTCTGATGGCAGCTTGGGAGATCTACTAAAAAGCAACAATTGTACATGCCTCAAAGTGTCCGTAGAGTACTTGCCTGACGTTAGGCCTAGCGAAGAAACAATGCAACATCAAGAGGAAGCAAAAAAAGAAGAGGAGGGAGGGGGCGACGGAGAAGATGAAACAATGCAACATCAAGAGGAAGCGGAAAAAAAAGAGGAGGGAGGGGGCGACGGGGAAGATGAAACAATGCAACATCAAGAGGAAGCGGAAAAAGAAGAGGAGGGAGGGGGCGACGGAGAAGATATAGCACCGCCCGGCCTTCCCGAGTTTTTGCGTCGTTACGTGGAGATTGGCAAGTTCGTGCCCTTGCCATTGAGTGACGACGTTCGCCTAGGAGAATCGGAAACATTACTCGTTCGCTTAGGAGAATCGAAAACATTACTCGTTCGCTTAGGAGAATCGGAAACATTACTCGAAGCGCCATCAAGGGTGACGCCTTTGCTCATAAAAAAACGGGACCAGTTCTTCGACGAAGTTGGTGGGGCTGCACGTGAGCCAAAACCAGAAAAGACTCTTTTGGGGAATGAGGGCGAATCTGTGCGCGAATTTTTTCGGAGCACAGCGGGTGAGTTCCTAATTGGTATTGGTTTAAGCCGGGCTCACGAACAAGTCAACCGGGATTTATTACGAGCCAAGGAACATGAGATGAAAAAAACAAGTATCCAAACGGTGGAGCTTATGCAAGAACAGCATAAGCTTACTAAAGCTCTCCAGCAGGCAAAGATGGCTAATAAACCATTCAAGTTCAAGATGAGATCTTGCAGACAGTGCGACTTTAAAACTGAATCGATTCTTGTCCTGGAAGGCCACCTGCTGAAGCCACACATTACATCACGGCGTGAAATTCAGTGCTGTTTCTGCAAGTACACAACACGCGATGCCAAGGCCATAGTATTCCACATGGAAACTGTCCACAAGAAACTGCCAACCATGGAGTGCCCACCTCAGTTCTACGAGTGCCCCTTTTGTTCTTTTGAGACTAATGTGAAAGCTAAAGCAAATTCTCACATCAACCGTTGCCAGAAAGACTTCAACAACAACACAAATCAGGTACCATCATGTGACTTTCAGCTTCCAGGAGTGACAGCCAAGCCAATTACTATAGAAGACATGAAAACATACAAAAAGAAAACGGCATCACACACTGGTGCTGCGACTAAAGGCAACCCAAACCGCGCTCACATTTCACTGCTGCAAAAAGGAGCACCTGCAGCCCTTAGTGGAGCAGTCGCATCACTCCACCACCAAAAGTTTCTTTTTTCTGCATCACAGAATCTGAACCACGGACGCGGACGTCCCAAGTTTCAGCAAACTCCTGCATCGAACAGAATTCACCAAGTTGTTGGTAGCAGTACAGAAGTGACTTCACTGCTGAACGGAAGCCCACAGTCAAATCTGGCCCTTGCTCGCCCAGTAAAGCCTGCCAGCGACAGTGGTGGAAAACGGAGTGTCCATGCTGTAGCTCCAAAGCGACCCTCGCCGGGCCAACGACCGCAAATGTCTGGAATCATGGAGTCCAGCAAATCGGTTGCCGGAGCCTTCGTCGTCTGCGAGCTCTGTGACGGGTACATGAAAGACTTGGAGAGTCTGGGTGCGCACATGAATCGGGTTCACAGGGTCAAGATCCACGCCAAGCTGCTCACCTCCCGGCCACCGCTCAACTGTCAGAAGTGCCAGTGGCGCTTTTTCACAGACCAAGGGCTGGAGCGCCACCTGCTTGGTGCTCATGGTCTTGTCACGTCCAACATGCAGGAACTGACCAACTCTAATGAAGACGGCGGTCGGTGCACTGTGTGTGGCCGTTTCTTTGCTGCCAAGCTAGTCGCCCACATGAGTCAGGTGAAAAGCTGTTTTCACTATTGCAGTTTTTTGATAGGACGTATTTGCCGAGTTCAGACAGTGCCAGCGAGTGCCTACATATGGCCGACATAACCTTGGTCGTTTAGTGGTTTGGCGTATGACAGCTTGATGTCATGACAACAGATATCAAAACGTGCTTGTCTAAGCAACTCGATTGTAGTCCTACGATGACAACCGTGCAGGTGACAACAGCTAGGGTGACCGCCATGCTAGTACCCTTTGCTCGTGTCGTTGCATGAATAACCTTGATAATTTCATTATAGTTGTGAATATATCAAGTGTTGATGCACTAACTACTTTCCTATGTGCGCAGGTACACCGTGTGGTATTGAAACCAGCTCATCTGAGCTACAAGTGTACAGTGTGCACGGAGACGTTCAACCTTTACCGCCTCTTCGAACGTCACGTATACACAGTGCACGGGGTAGGGTTGAAGCGTCCTGCTTCTGGCTCGTTGGACGACAAACCCGCAAAGCAGCCTGTTACTGCCAAGCGTGTGTCTGACCATACAACTACCAAAACGAAGCAAGAGTCCGAGGGAAGCAACGACATTCCATCAAAACCTGCACCCGAGTCCCCCACTTCAGGGAGTAGCGACACAGAGGAGGAATACTCTGAGAAGGTGGCCGTTGCTCCCGCGGAGCCGCCCGATTCTCAAATGGGTGCCCGATGTACGACTTGTGAGGAGAATGTGGAAGATCTGAGGGAACACGTAGAAGAAAAGCCCATGCGAGGCTGCAAAATTCGCTTGTGTCACATTGAAAAGTGTGACCACTGCCTGCGTTCCTTCAATGGCATGATCGTGATGAACACATTGGACTCTGGTGATGAGGACAGCTCGGAGGAAGAGGAGGATAATACTGGCCCCGCAGATGCAGATGGGCCTCCCGGTGCAAAGGATGCCGATTTCCTCGAAGCGAAAAACCCGGAAGTGGATGACCAGCAGGGTGAGGCTAAGTGACGTAGCCCACAGTTATTACAAGGGAAGTGCAACAATATCTGGGGAACAGTTTGGTCTATCACTTTTGAGCTCTGTACCTTCTGGTGCAGCTGTAGAGCTTGCCATGGTGAACTGCTACTCAAAAGTTTTGCGATAATGTTCCCTTGGGTTGTTGTCAACTATTTCAAGTTGGCAATACATGGAATTTTTTGCACGTTTGGTCTTTGTTCAGTTTCGATACTGGTTGTAGGCCAGCGATTGTGCCCTTTTTCATATTAGCAAAACATTTTACCCAGCTATAGATGGCGTGGTCATTTCTGCAAACTGCATACTCCGAGTAGTTCACTTGTGCTTTTGTGTTGTAAATGTGGACTTACTCTATCAAAATGAAAATTCCAGAAGATCTCACTCATTGTGTGAATTGTACAAAGCCGGTCAAGCTGCATTTTCTGGCTTTGAGCCTAGTCTTAAGAGATAGATTGACATCTGCTTAATTCGAGTAGTGTGCACAGTGTAGAACTAGCAAGCACATCTGCACTGGTGCATAAAGGGTCCAATGTAACACCAAGCTCACATTACATGACAGGCATCATTCTCATCAAAACAAAGTGCCTGTTAGGAGGGATTGTTGGAGTGTCTATGCAAGGATGAACATTGCTAGACTAGATCTCGCTGTGCAGTAGGAGTATATATGTGAGGTTTATTACATTGTGGTAAGAGGGCTAGGCAATACCAAAACCACTCTTCTCATAGGACATTGCCACAATTGATAGGCAGTCATTAATCAATACATTTGTTCATGATATGTGCCATGTGATTGTTATCTAGGGTCATTTCAACTAGATTTTCACTGCTTGTTATGGTTGTAGTTATTATTGTAGCACAAGGTCTTTGTCTTTTTTTTTATTTATCTCACAAAAATTGTGGCATTTCCATTATGTATTCTTACAGTACCTGGGTTGGTATAGACTGTAAGCCACCTGTGGTTCATATGATAGACATGCCTACGTACTACATGGTCATGTGTCACATGTGACTAGGAGAAAGTTTCATGATACGTACAGTGGTGCTCGGTGCAAGTTGCAACATGGTGGCCATGCTTGAAGGAACTTCTTGCCTACACTGACACGAGCTAATATAAGATAGGTTTTGCACATGCTGCAGTCAAAATGGTGCTTATGTCACCAATCGTTTAGTATGGAGGCACCATTGTGCAGTGTTAGCTCTGCTTTCAGCGTTGAAACTCGTATGGAGCGCAACTTTACATGGCAGGCATGTCACATTCATGTTGCGACCTGTGAATCATGTTCATTGTACATGCATACTCGTATGCCAATTTTGATGCATACCTAATTAACGAGACTGCCTCCAAAGTGCCCAGACGCAGGTGAAAAAAAAATAAATGAAAGCATTCAACGTGACTCATGTTTCTGAAGAAACGCCTTGCATTTAAAAACAAGCCCCAGTATTTGCAAATACAACTTCGTAATATGCTAGCTACCATTATTAGAGTAAGCATGCTTAAATTATGAAAAGGGCCTAATTGCACTGGAAGAAACTGAACGAAGATCAAATACGTGCAACCTCAAATGTGCTCAATTTCATCACACCAGAACGAAGTTGTAATCATACAGAACAGGAGCCCATGATGAGAGAGTGGCCTTCCCATCTTGCTACTTGATGCGTAAAGTGTAATTCTGCTACACATTGTGAAATACTTGAGGCTTCAGTGCTGCAAAAAAGTGGACATCACAACCGTGCATGTCTTCTTTAACCTCCTCTTCTATCTCCATTCTTGATCTTCTCCTTCTCTGATGGCTCATACCCAATGCAAGGGATTGGCCGAGTAGCAGCCGAATTTGTGCACTTTCTTCTGTATACTGCTAATTTAAGCTAGAATTAACTAATACATCAAATTTAAATAGAAATTGTTATTGATGATATATTTGAAGGATGAATTCTTGTGATAGCTGTCTAATGATTCTTTTTCTTTTGTGCACTATATGCATGCGTACGCTTGTGAATGTGAAAATCATGAAGTTATCCAGAGTGCAGCACACTAGGATTATTGGCACGTGTTCGTAATGTTGAGAAACTCTCTTGTTTGTTTTTTGTTTGTAAAAAGACACTTTACCAATGTAAACATTGGGAATACACATTTTGTAATGTTTTCTCGCAATGCTACACCCAGAGTCGCTGACTTACTGTGACGTCGTGACACGGAATCTACCAATGTCTTGTAGCAAGTTTTGAGTATGGCAGCGCCGTGCAAAACGTAGGGCATTATGCTTGTGTTGACAGCACAGGCAGCAATCTTAATGATCTGAGCAGACCAGTGTTAACAAAGTCTCTTGATCCTGCTCTCTTCCTATCTCGCACGACAGACTATCATCTAGACTTTAGCAACTAACTATCGCTACATTATTTATCAAGCTCCGATTTGCTCTTGGCATGTTCCCTTGGGTTCACAGGGTTCAAAGCTTGAGCTCATACAAAAATAAAGTCCACACCTTCAAGCATGTGCTACATCCTGGCTAACAGGACGACAAACCAGCTTCCCATTTCTTGCAGTAAACTATCGCTACATTATTTATGGAGTTCTGACTTGCTCTTAATTCCCTTGGGCATATGGGGTTCACATATTCAGTCAATGCAAAAAAAGTAAATTACTCTTTTAACCATATGCTGCATCCTCGCTGTGAGATTTCATCGTATACGCTTTAAGATTAGTCGTGAACTTGTACGGTTGTGTAGTATATGCAACTACCTAAGCCTCGCGTGCAGCTGTGGCAATGCTGATGCATTTAACTCTTAGAAACTTCAGTGAGCAATGTGATACAGAGTAGCCTTCCATAAAGTACGGTTGTATAAACTAGTCTCCACAACTTCTATATCAGTTGAACTATGCTACAACACATTTCATTTTTTTTCCCTTTGTGGTGAGCACTGCCTTGCAGTATTTCTCCTAGCTCATTGTTTGTTCCCTAGCTCATTTTGCATCATGAACCTTGTCCTTTTGCTTGCATTGTAAAAGCAGTTGGCGTGCAAGCATGGACACGAGAGAATAGAACAATACTAAAGTGTTATCCCGACCTCTTTTGTGTCTTGCATGCCAACTACTTTCATGAATCTGTACCAACTAGTTCAACTGTCATTCTCTAGGTTCTCGCATCTCGTAGTTAATGCGCATATGGTGTTCATGTTATTTCATTCATGTGTGACTTGTTTGCTTTGTTTCAGTTTAAACTTATATATGTGTCATTGTATCTCATCTAGTCTTTTTACTTGGTTGACTGAGTAACTTGGTACTCTAATAAATCCCTATACTTCTTACACCACACAGCTCTGTAGATTTGCCAATGCCTGTGTTGTTTTCTTAAGAACCGTTTTCTGCACCCACAAGGCCATGCATTATAGCACGTACCTAAAGTATCAGTGCTGTGGTCATGTTCCAAGACCACTGTCAGTCACAGTCACTTTGCGAGTTGTGGAATCTTGGGAGTTCACTGACTGAGAAGACTACTTGCTCGTCCTTCCTCAACCAGCCAATCAGCATGCATTGAAAGCAATACTTTGCCGATATCTCCAAAAGTGATCCTCTTGCTGTACAGACCTTGGTTGTCTATCGTTGCATGCTGCATAACGCATACAGGGAGGGTATTCTTTAAGAGTACAATAAGTAGATTGTTAATTTTAGCTACTGTCGGTAAACTGAGATGTTTGGTTGGTCAAACCACCGAAGTTTGTGGTGCACAGACTCATAAAACTAGCCAAAATGATCAAGAATACTGTGCAGTTGAGTTTGTACAAAGATCCGCTGTTGTAATGCAAGTTGTATTGTGAAACAGCAAACAAAAAAATTTATCATGATACACTATCCTCTCCAAATGGGCTGATCTTTGCCACTATCCTATAACGAAATCTCGAGGCTTTTTATTACCGAATAACAAAAACTGTTTTTTATACAGTTCGTCGATTACCAAACCTTGTGGTAAATTTGGAGTACTACTGCAAAGAAAGATGCTGTATTTTACTTGGCATTGCTAGGTAATGTTTACTTGCAAGCACACTCTGGCAGCTGAGTTATAATTTCATGGTCACCAAAGGTGGCATTGAATGCAGAGCCTGTCATCATGCAGGTAAGCTTGCCTTCAGCTCAATAGTAAAAAAAAGGACCCGATTTTCTAGGTATGCCGGTATGAATTACAAGCATATATGCGCTAATAAAACCTGTGCAAGATTTTTTTTTCCAGGTCTGTGCAATTATTTATTTACATTTTGTTGGGGTTGGTTGTCAGTAAAGTGGCAACAAGATTTCAAGAATAAAAGTGTTGGAGGCAGTGCCTTTGCTTGTTCGTTGTGTACTTTTGCACGGTTCGCGTTTTTTGAGAATACTTACGGGCAATGAAAACCAAGAACACTACGTCAGCCCTAAAGTGCACTATATGCCACAAGAAAGACGCTATGTACTGACCTGGTGCGCCTTCCTGTGATCAGATAACGCACTCTATTTTTATGGTGTCATCTGGCCAACTTGCATGACAATGACTCAGCGTGTCTTTCTTCATGAATGCCTCCTTCCAAGTAACTGACGCTACTGTGGTCTGCTGAAACATTACACAATATGGCCTGTGCTAAAACACTGTTTTTGATCATGGGGGGTAAATACATTGCTTGTGTCCATTCCTCACTCCACTACAGCTAAGACGGGCTGCTTGTATGCTAGTATTGCAGATCACCGAGAGAAAGTTCGTTCCTGCTACACACAGAAGTTTTTAAACTCTCGATATTGTTGCGACCAATCAAAAGCATGTCAACAGGCAACAGCTCGAGCCGTGCTTGTGGTGCAGTTATGGAAGTCTAAATCTTAAGTGTGTGTAAATATTCGAACATTTCAAATAAGTCAAAGACCATTTTACTCGACTTGGTTCTTGAATCGAATGATGTGTATTAAATTACTGAATGCTTATCCAAAATGACAGCACCTATGAAAAAACCACTAAGGAGCAAAACTCAACAGAGAAAGATAATGTTGCCTGTTTTAATTATTCAGTCAAATATGCATGCGGCCCAAGGTTTTCAGAGACTTCTAAAGCCCCAGAATAGTCAGTTGATGATAAGTGGTATTTAATGGCACAAGGACCAATTGATGGCCAAAGAGCGCCTTTCAATAGCCTAGCCAGAATAGTCAGTTTACGTTATCATTACACTCATGGTAATATTGACTCGTGAGTATTGTTTGATATACACCAATTTCATTTAAAATCTGTGGACAAGGGGCCTTCCTGAATACTGTAGTTAACTGCTGTATCTTAAGCTGAAGTTGCAAAATATTTCTAAGGCTCTAGTTGCTGCTGTATGCGACCCAACCTCGGTTTACACAATTGGCATGTTTTTAACAGCAGAGCTTTTTAAGCTTTTCGGTTTGTAGTGTGGCATGAAAAGAAGAAAATTGCCCCAGCTTGCCTTTGCCTCGTTTAGCCTAGTAAGCATAGCCAATCCTAATTAGGCCAAGATAAGCTTAAGTTCTTCTAATTAGGCAATCTTAAGTAGGTTTAGAGCGAGATGCTACTAAAGAAAAAGTTTTTATTCTGCAGCCTAGGACAGTGAAATATTTGAATATTGGACAGTGATATATATATATATATATATATATATATATATATATATATATATATATATATATATATATATATATATATATATATATATATATATATATATATATATATATATATATATCATTGCTCTAGGCTACAGAATAAAAACACTTTTTTTTTCCGAGCAGCAGTTATTTCTTTGCTTTAACTTTAGAATGTAGATAATATTGTGCGTATAGGACATTTTAATGGACAAGAAAGATTGTAATGTGAGTAGTCTTAGAATGCTCAGCTCATACTAACTGCCTACACTATTTTTGTAATAGATATATAGAAGACATCAAGTTTAGAAAGAGATACTTGCACTCTTCACATGATAAGAAATATGTGGACAAAATTTTATCTTGATCTAGTGATCAGAAGTACCAAAACCGTGGTGTCCTAACTCAAGACGTTCCCCAAAATGAATCTTGCGAAAAACACATTTTAAGGGTATAGTTGGCAGCGCATCTGTGCGTCGGAGATCATGAGAGCTTGGGAATCGTGGTCATTTCGAGCATGTGACTTAGGTGAACTGCTTGTGTGAAATGCAAAGGCAAGCAGCTAGAGGATAACGGGCCTTTTCCTAGTCCGAACAGCACCCCAAGTGGAGATCGCCGATATCAACACTAGTGGCTCTTGAACTCTGAGATTGTCCTCCGAATGCTGGTAGGCCTTCTTGGAGGCCTGCTTTCTCGCCTCTGAATGGGGCAAACAATTGCATGTTTGTGGCACCAAGTGACGCTTGGTCCGCACGTGTCATAACGTTTTGGCCACGAAAAATCATGGTGCATGCCTCCACAGTGGTCGGTGCACATGTGCAGACTGCCTACCCAGAAAAGGCCCATTTCTAGCGGACTCTAGCCTGTGAGTTTTAGTTTTAGTAGCCACCCTATGCTCCTAAAAGAGTGATTTTAATGTACTTTGAGTTTAATCGCAATCTTCCGTGAAAGGAAACTTGTGAAAGCAAATAAAAGATATGTAATTTTGGTGAAACCTTGAATTTTTTTACTTGCATCTCCGCTCAAGTTAGATTAGCCTAATTAAGTCTAGCCTAGCTTTTCTCAGCAATGCTAAGCCAACATAAGCTAAGGTGAGCCCAGCTGAGCCAAAGTTGTAGTGGAGAATCAAACATGATATGTGGGGTTTGACATGTGGACCGGTAGGAGACATGATCTGATGCTTTATCAGCTTCATGGCATCCTGTGTCGAGAGGCCAGCTCTGAAACCAATCATATTGTGGGTGTACATGTCATTGGTCTCGAGGTGCACTTGGAGTCATTTTATAAAGGCATGCTCAGCGACCTTACCGACACAGGAAGTTAAAGAAATCAGTCTTAGATTGTCTATTTCTGTTGCTTTACCAGTTTTAGGGTTTAGAACCGTGTGGGCCGTCTTACACTGTGCGGGGACTTCCCCACGGCGCCACACCTCATTAATGTTTTCTGTAAGGAATTCGATGGAGTCATCATCAAGGGTTTTGAGCATCTTATTAGTTATGCCATCAGGGCCAGGGGCAGATTTGGCATTTAGGGAAAAGAGAGCCTGTCGGATCTCGGCCACAGTATAGTCCTGGTCCAACTCCGGCACGTCACACCCCGCGTAGTCCGGAAACTGGGTGAATGCAGAGCTATCCGCGACTCGCAGATACTTGTCAATAAGCTTGTTGACAACCAATTTGTCCGGGGTAGAGTCAGTAGCAAGATGGATGTTTCGCGCGAGGGATCGCCTCTGGTTGGACCTGGTGCCGCTCTGATCGAGAAGGTGTTTGAGAAGACCCCAGTTCTTCCCAGATCTGAGCTAACCCTCAATGATCTCGCATAGCTCATGCCATTGTTGTTTACACAGGGTTTTACAGTGTTCCTCGATCGCCCTGATAACCTCGGAAACCTTCTTGCGAAGCCTCCTGTTATGCTTCTGCCCCTTCCACCTCGTGAGTAGGGCTTTCTTGGCTTCTAGTAGGTGGGCCAACCTGCTGTCCACGTTTTTAACGTCAATGACGATCTCTTTGGTTGCTGCCGTGGCGTCATCTCCGATTCCTTTGTACCATCCATCAAGATCTGTCCCGGCCATCAGTCTTCTCTCAGCTCTGACTTTGCGGAAAACGTCCAAGTCAACCACCTTAAATTTTTCATCCTAAAGAGGGCAATCACGAAGGATACCTCGATGACATAGTGGTCACTTCCGAGGTCTACAGCCGTGTCGACCCACTTGACCCCACCTATATTCTTTACAAAAGTAATGTTCGGGGTGGTATCCCGGCATGTAGAGTTACCTCTCCTAGTGGGGAAATCCTTGTCATTAATAAGCGTCAAGTCAGCTTCTGCTGCAGTCTGCCATATCTCGCATCCCTTGGGACGCGACAAGGGGGTAACCACTGGCCATGCTCACAGCCCTTTTGAGAAAGAGTTTGCCTTCACCCTGCGATAACTGGGACTGCAGTATTCGTTGAGAATAAAAAGGCTGTTTCTTCGAAGACCTTTTTTGGGCGAGTTCATTAAATTTTCAGTCATTACGTACTCAATGCCATCAGCAACTGCACCGAGGTCACGCGATAGGTAATTGTACCTTTTGCTGATAAGTGTGGTAACTCCCCTACCTCCTGAATGTGATGACGCTACTAGGTAACCCTGGAGTATGATGGGGATGCCATATGCAACTTCCTGAACAGCGATGATTTGGGGCTTAACATCGAGAGTTCTTAAATATTGCTGTAGAATGGGCTTTTTGTGTGTAAACCCGCCAAAGTTCAATTGCCAGATTTTGAAGTTTTCGTCCACACTATCCATGTTTAGGCTGAGAGGATGATTGAGCAGCTATAGCGGCCTCGAGGATCGCGCCCTCAGTCGGTGGCGCTAGTACATTGCGTTGTGCTGGGACCTGCAAAGGAGTCGAACCGGGTCACTCCTGGCATCAACCTCTTATAGCTTGCTATTGCGTTCACTCAGTGCCCCTAATCCCATCTTGAGGTGTGCCACGGCTTCTTGAATTTTCGCTAAGGTAGCCTGCATGTTGACAAAAAAATCCTTGAGTTCCGACAGTAAGTTTACCGCCTCTTCTTCTTGTGTGTTCTCAGCCGCTAGACCTGTAAAGTGCCTCAGACGTATCCACGGCGACCGGGACTGAGGCGGGCTGTGCCGAAGCGGGCAAGGACCCGAGCTTTCTGATCTCCGCCATTTCCGTAGCTAGCCTGCTCATTTCTTGCTTAAGCTGTGCGTTTTCTTTCCTCAGTTGCTCGTTAGCTTGTCGAGCTCACTCACGTGGGGAGAACTGCGATTCTATTCATCGCCTCTAGGAGACTCACATCTTTCTCGGGCCTTGTCGGCCCAGAAGAGCGTCGGCTTCTTCCTGTTAGAGGTGGTGGGCGTGCGGGAGCGGGACCTGGTCAGCCCCGAAAAAACGTGCCCCGGCCTTGAGGTGGAGCGAGGCTGAAAAGTGGAACTTCTCCAGACCCGTTCTGTCGACCCGGAGCGCGAGCTGGAACATCCTCTGGAGCGGGGGCGTCCTCTGCGCTGAGCACCCGTGGCGGGTGACAAAGACTGGAACTCGTTCGCAGTGTCGAGGTGACGTTGCGGGGACGGTGACACAGCACCAGCCATTCTGGCATGCTCACTGCGACGACAACGCACAATGTACGGGATCTTGAACCTTTGAGCACTTTCTTTGCTAGCCGTGAGATGCTGGCCACCACAGAGTTTGCACTTGGGAGTACACACATGTTGGTTGTCGAGGCTTGTGCACCACAGTCTCGGCAAATCGTGTCACCGGGAGTGGGGCACACGTCAGGGCGATGACCAAGACGGCCGCACGCATAACACACATCGATTTGCTTGCGGTAGAGTGAGCACTGCATCAGCACCGGTACATACCTGACAAAGTTCGGTACACGATACCCGTCGAAGGCGATGATGACCGTGCCAGTTTGGGCTATTCTCTTGGCTGCTAAGGCGAGTGGATTATTTGTGTTGACAATCTTGGCATCGATGATGTCAGGGCCATCTTGAAGTGGGACGTTGCGAATCACCCCTTTGCAAGTGGAGTGTGGGGCAGTCTCATAGGCACTATGCTTGTGCACCTTGCCCGAAATGAGCATTTGCGTCATCCAAACGTATCGGCCTGCATTATCGCGCTTGGGAATACTGGCAACCATAATATTTTGCTGCAAGTTCAGACAGAGTATCCTGGCACAAATCTTCCTGGCTTATGCCAGCGGCAACTAGTATTGCGTCTGCCACCGTAGCTGCGCCAATTTTCGAGGTATTGATTTCACCTCAAGCCGGATCGCAATCTTGATATCATCTTGAAGATTTGCCACGGCATGCGCCCAGCTGCGACGATGGCGTGTTAGAGTCAGCAGTGCATGTTTTGGCGCTAGCTCTTCTGGCCCCAGCAGACTGCCAACCTTTATCTTGAGTAAACTGTTCTTCTGAAATATCCTCTCCGTGCACTTCATACTCCACCGTGAGCAAATAATTCAGCGCACTGGGCCTCCGAAGGGCCGGCCGCAGGCGAGAATAAGCCCAGCAAAAGCGCGGTCTCCCAGGTCACTCGTTAGGGTTAAAGAGCGCACCGCTCCAGAGAAAAAGAAATTGTTCCTAACTCGACAAAAAATCACTCGCTGTGGGCAAATATGGTATCGGTGGGATCCTGATGACTTCTCGAACCGATGCGAGCAACACTCCATGAACACGTGATGAAAAAACTCTAAAAACACAGATTTAGTTGCGCGTCCGCAGGAGCCTTACGAACGCAGCCTCCCATTCCACGTCTCTCTCTTCCATTCCTTGTGCAATTTCAAAATATAATCAGAAGTTATGGGTCCTTACCAACCCTAGAGACAATTCACGGTCACTAGGGACAATGCACACCATCAAATGGAGGTCCAATTGCTGCCCTATTTATGTGAAAAGCAGTGTGGACTTTCCAACATGGGCAGAATGTATCCATGATAGAATGCACTTAAGAATCCGTCACCCAATAAAATAATCACATCAAAACGTCGTTTCCTCTGTTAACCATTTATTCCCCACCAAGCCTTTGTTGATGGTACTTTTCCTGAGTAAACAAGCTGCATTCGGGCTGAAAAACAAAAAACACACACACACTTTGCTAACAAGGAATGCTCTTTAGGACTGTATCCTTTTCGACGACAGCCTTCAGGGTTCAGTGGAGCTATGTGTTTTACATTACCGAGTAGAAAAGAAAAGCACTAGTGATAACCAATTTTTTTTGATGAAGAGATCATCAGAGCAAGCCCGCACTGAGCGGAGCTCTTGGTAATGCAGATTTAATAAAATGAACGCATTTGTGCAAGCTGGAGTGCGGCAACTTGTTTTTAACGAAGATCAGATGCGAGAAACTGTCACCGCGCTTTGGACAAGCAACTTCCGCCTTTGCTAGCCGCGAGGAAAGTCGCTGCAACACAAGTTTCACTATAGCAATAATACAGAAAAAAACTAAGCCATCAGTTTAAAAGAGGATTTCGATGCTGTAAATACAGCAAGTGCAAGTACGTATTAGCAGAACTAAGTATAACACTTCATCAGTAAAAATGATGAACCAAACACTCCGCACATCACCATCGTGGCAACTTAGTACTGTCATGTCGGGCATGCACAACGAAGTCTCACCCAAACAGACACAGGAAAGACTATCATATCACTGGGGATGTGATTAAGATCCCATCAGAGCCGAAGCCACGTTAAAAGAGACCAAACTCAGAGCAGGCTGGACAGAGGTTTACAAAAAAAAAAAGGCTTGAAAGAATGAGAAGTTATCAGAAGGACTGTCACTGGAGCCAAAGTTTCGATGAAAGGTACTGCCTTCGCCTCAGTAGCAACTGTGCTGTAACAGTAATTAACGTACGACTAGCCAACTCTCCCAACCCTCCAAAGAGGGGAGGAGGAAACAAGCCTGCATGAAATGGAAGAGAATGGTAAGCGAGGAGTACAAAGAAAAGTCGCTTAGAGAAGTGCTTGCTACACTTAAAAAGGTCGAATCTTCTAATTGAAATGCAGCTCCAATGACGTCCCTAGTTTGGAAATGTCCCATTGCAATTAGACCAGGTTCCCTTGTCAGCAGGAATTAAAATTAATTAATAAGTGGACCAACACACAACTTCGTACTTTTATTCTTGCCAACAACAGCAATGGGTGAAGTGTGAAACTCCCTCGGTGTCACGTCTAGGAAACAAGTTACTCAACGTGTAATTGTGACCACGAGAAAAACAGAGGTTACAAGTACGTCGCCCCCTTGCGCACCCCCAGCCGACAGGCACATGACTCGATGCAGCTCATCTCGCGCAGTTTTGCTTTGGTTCGACAGGGGCCCCGGCGAGTGAAATCGCAACCCAATCGACGCACCAAACTCTCACAGTCTGACAAAACTCCGCACAAGCACGCAAGGACAATACCCCACAGTTCCACCACACCTTGGGTCGGTGCTAAACAAACGGCTGAGCAGTCATCCTAGACCTCCAAATTAATGTTGAGCTATGGGCTCCAAAGCTTGGTATAACATGCTTTTTTCCCACCAGAATTAAGTAAAACTGTTCTGTTTGCATGGCAAACTGGACAGAGTTAAGGTCAGCCGATGCACACCTCGTCAGCCAATAAGTATGGTGCCTTAAGTTAGGTATTTTATAACGTGTAACGTGCAGCCTCGACAATGACTCGCAGAAAAATTTTTAAGAACGATCCCCATGTATTGCCGCAAAGCTGGTTTCCTTGCATGGGTGCAAAAGCACTGCCTTGAAGCCAACCCTTTACATCGGAAGTAGCACTTTTTGTCTAGACTTTAGCTTCGAATGCAAAAAGTTTTTTTGGTGCGGGTTATACGTAAAAAAAGAATACAGCGTCTACAATCTGTCGGGCCGGAAGAAATCTGACACCAGGGCCAACTATACTATCCTACGAGTCTGTTTTCAAACGCTCCTGAGTGCAAAGCCAACTATGCATTGTCGAAGAGTGCACCGTTTCGCATTCCAAAATACAAAGCCCTGTCTTCTCAATGCAATCTTAACCCTTCAATGACGGCCAAAACCTACCCAGAACCACACAAATGTCTCGGAACAGTCAATATCAACACTGTCAAATCATAAAATGACATGTCTCGATTTGAGATGTACTGCCGACACTTTGCCAGTGTGTGTGCAGTTCTGTATGTCTATGCTGCAGGCCTCTTCTTTGATGCACACATGCACGGACACACAAGTTTTGGGGTAGGCTTTTGTCAATCTGCACAACTACGTCAATGGCTCAGTAACGAGTTTTTACAGCTGTCCCATCTTCTCTGAGCAAGTCGGGTGTTGCGGTTGACTTTGTTATTTCACTCAAACGAAAATGAGAATGTCACAGCACATGATTCTTGTGAGGAATTGACTGGCTCTTCTTTCTACCTGCATAACTAGGTTGACTGGCAACCTATATAAACTAGGTTGGTGTCTTCAGTACAAAATCTAATCTCAGTATGAAAATCTTCTACCCGAGGCATTTGGACGTGATGCGAAATGTCGTGAGCAAAACGCGTTTCAACAGTGCTAAAGCTGAACTGACAACTACCTAGGAAGTCAGTGTTTCTATACAACTGTTCTTCTGTTCTTGTTGTTGTTGTTGGTGGTGGTGAACACAACTACATTAGTAGTCAGTGTTTTCTATTCGACTGTTTCTCTTGCTGTTGTTGTCGATCGCCCGCGATCTCCTTCTGGTGTTCTTAGTCGAACATCTCGAAGGCTTTTGAACAGACGCTTGCGTCATGGGCGTCATGGTGCTAGTCCGAGAGATTCTCGGTGGCGAATTCTGAGGGCGGTCGCTTGGCAGCCGACGTGTTTTCGAGGATGAGCGACTCCTCGCCAAGCACAGAGCAGAGCTCTCGAAGACGGCTCTCCATCTGCGGAACGCCCGCCAACTGCGCCTCCAGGTTCTCTTTCTCGTCGCGGAGAGAGAGGCGGGTCGATGTGTCAAGCAGCTCTAGCCTCCAGCCACCCTCGCCGTCAAACTGCAGCAGGTGTGAATGGAACTTCCTGCATTGGGAGCAAAACCATGTACCACAAGCGTGTTTGCAAGCAGATAAACCAATGTAGAAGATGGGTAGATATAGATCGACATTTTGTATCTCCTCTTTTCACTACAATCACATCTTGACTGAAACCCCTGACACACGGGCACAGTAAAGTCCTTTACGTAAAGATACCCCAGTAAAGAAAAAAATCCAGTTGCACCAATTGGGAATTCCAGTTGGTCTGAGTTGGCATGGCCCATTATCCAATGGATTTGAATTGGATGCTCCGAAATGTCCAATTGAAATGCTAGCTCATAGGCCCTGCTCCAATTGATTCTCCAACACACTAAAAAAAGTCACTTGGTTCAACTGATCAAAACCGATTTGCTCCCAATTGGATGACCTAAAACCAATTGGAGCCTTGAACTTCCATGGGATAAACCAATTGGAATTAATAGTTTCTAATGGTCGCAAATGGTGCGAATTTTCCATTCGGCCACCCTATTCGAATTCTGAATAATACAAATGATTGTGCAATTACAGTTGGAGTCAGTACATATTTAAAGATTGCTCTTCCAATCCAAATGTTTGAACATATCATTACACAATTCTATGCGGTATTAGGCATTCCATTTGATATAGGTATACATGGGACCAATTACAGATTGTTATAGGTCCAATTATTTTATTTATTTATTTATTTACAAGATACTGCAGGCATGGAGCCCAAGCAGGAATGGTACAGGCAGTAAGGCAATCAAGCCAAGCATCACACAGCATACAATAATACAATCATCACACACATACAACAATAATGCAACCAAGCTTATCATAACAGCAATGAATTAAGTGGGATTGCGAGAATCGCATTTGTGTGAATCGCAAAGGGAAACAACATGGCACTAAAAGTAACCAAATCAACAAAAAGGATCAGTGGATAAAAAAAAACTGCAAAACATTTTTACATCCTCAGAAAAACATGTGCGTCAATAGAATCTGTCGACAGCAGGACGGCAAACGGTAAATTGTTCCACTCACAGATTGTGCGCGGGAAAAACGAAAATTTGAAGAGATTAGTTTTGGAGAAATACGGAGTTAAGGCAAGGGAGTGTGAATGACGACCGCGCCGTGTTTCCAGGCGACTAATGTAGGGGCTGTGATCAAATAAGAGCTTTCGGTTAACTAATTGGTACAGTAATTTTAGCCTAATTGATTTACGTCGTGATTCTAATGTTGGGATACCATGTCTTTCCATCAGGGCAGAAACGGAGTCTGTTAGACCGTACATACCATAAATAAAGCGGACTGCCCTTCTTTGAATTCTTTCGAGGCAGTCGATATTGGTTTTAGTGTGAGGATCCCAAATAACGCAGGCATATTCAAGTTTCGGTCTAATTATAGAAGTATATGCTAAGTATTTAACCTCAGAGGGAGCGGTTTTGAGTTTGTGTCGTAATAAACAAAGTTTACGCAAAGCGGCAGCGCATATGTTAGTAATGTGAGAGTTCCAACTTAAGGTACTGGTTAATGTTACGCCAAGATATTTGTGTTCAGCTACTTGCTTAAGCGGTTGGTCACAAGTACAATAAGAGAATTCAAGGGGGTGTTTCTTTCTAGTCATTCGGAGGTAAACTGTTTTGTCATGGTTTAATTGCATGTTAGTAGTTTTACTCCAAGAAGCAACGTTTTCTAACGCCGAGTTTAACGCAAGTTGGTCCTCGATGCTATTAATTTCATTAAAAAGTATACAGTCATCTGCAAAAAGACGTATTTGGACCGGACTGTTTATAACGTTAACAATGTCATTACAAAAAATAAGGAAAAGTAAAGGGCCTAGCACACTTCCCTGCGGTACGCCAGACGTAACAGGGAGAGCGTCAGAAGTGCTTCCATCATTGTCGACGTACTGTCTACAATTAGTTAAATAGGCAAATAGCCAAGAGACGATGAATGCTGGAAGCACGATTTGAACTAATTTATCGATTAATTTGTCGTCCGATACGCGATCGAAGGCCTTACTAAAATCTAAGAGTATGAGGTCAACCTGTCCCCCCTTATCAAGAACTGAAGAAGCGTGGTGAACAACTGTTAGTAGTTGAGTGACGGTCGAGAATCCCTTGCGAAACCCGTGTTGAAATGGAGAAAGAATTTGATGGGTATCTAAAAATTGTGTAATGAACGTAGCAACAAGGTGTTCAAGTAACTTACAGGCGGATGATAACATAGATATGGGTCTGTAGCTGGGAATTAAGAGTGGGTCGCCTTTTTTGGGAATAGGTACGATACGAGCTATTTTAAAATCAGAAGGTAGCGTGGCCGCATGAAGAGAAAATTCAAAAATAAGTACAAGGAATTTCGTCGAAGTGTCAGCATAACGACGGAGAAATGCGTTCGGAATGCAATCGGGCCCTGGCGTCGATTTGTTTTTTAATCGAAGTAACATATTTAAGACACCATTGTGCGAAACAATATTGACATCAGGGTATGAAGTTACTGATTTACTCTGTTTCAACTGAGACTGCGAAAATACGCTATGGAAAAACAAATTGAAGTGATTTGCGATATCTCGAGGATTAGTCAGTTTAGAGCCGTCGACTGAAATTTCAGTTATGTTTTCATTGCGCTGTCTAATAAAGTTCCAGAATTTATGTGGTTCCTCTCTTAGGAAGTTCGGTAAAGTAGTGTTAAAGTAGAAGTTTTTGGCACGAGTAATAGCATTGTAAAGGGTAGTACGAATTTCAGCGAGTTGTTGAGGCGCTGTACGTTTTTTTCGCAAGCACTTGGCTTTGCGTTTAAGGTGAAATATAGATCTAGATATCCAGGGCGTATATTTAGCGGTCTTCTTAACTTTATCGGGTACAAAGTTTCGCAAACAGAATAAACACATATTTTTAAATTTATTCCAAAGGACTTCAACATCGTGATCAGTGAAATTTGGCCAAATATTTTCCAAATACTCAGCAATAGCAGTGTCATTAGCTTTCGCAAAGTCTTTCACATTTTTTAAAGCTGGGCAACTTTTTGCATTTTTGTAATAAAGAGAAATGGATGCAAAAACAATTTTGTGATCTGAGAAACCGCGTTCGACAGACACGTGGTACTTTTCGAAAGATCTGGGCAGGAAAACAAGGTCAAGTAGAGAGGATGAATTGCCACAAACTCGGGTTGGTTGCTGAACTATTTGGACAAGGTTGTGTGAAAACATAATGTCAAGAATGTCGTCACTGTGACAAGAATCGGGTCTTGTTTTCAAGCGGTCCCAATCAAAGTTGGGCAGATTAAAATCCCCTAGGACGAAAAGCTTATATTTACTGAATGAGGCCAAATGAGATCGCAATTTACAAGAAAATCGGGCCCAGAATCAGGCGGTCTGTACACAGCGATAACAATGGTTACTTTGTTTCCGAAAGAAACCCTTAAACATAGGCTTTCAGTATCTGGCGATTGCGCTAGAAGGGATGCTTTGATACTGGTTTTTAAAATCACTGCAACACCCCCACCTCTAGTTGGCCGGTCTCTTCGAAATATTTTGTAACCTGACGGAACTATGTTGTCATCAGGTATTTCACTGTGAAGCCATGTTTCCGTAATGACGGTCAAGTGTGGGCTATGACATAACAAAAGGGCTTCAAGCTGTGCCGTTTTGTTAACGAGACTGTGGGCATTTAAGTTAACGACCGTGATGGCAAGTTCAGATGACTGTCACAGAGCGGACTGGTTAGGATTGTTACCGTTACTATCGGAGGACGTGTCTACGACGTCAACCGGGAGAGTTTCAATGCTAATCACCCCACTGGATTGTGAAGGCGTGCGCCGTTGATCAGAATGAGTGGAGATTATTTGCCGCTGATTAGAGTTTGCGTTCCAGAGAAAAGTATCGCTGTCAACGTGCAGTTTATCCTGTACGAGGTAAACTTTTTTACCAGCAGCTTTCTCACTTTTGGCACTTTCCCAGAGCATTTTTCGTTTTTTTAGGGTATGTGCTGAGTAGTCATTCTGTATGTAAATTTTAGAGCCCTTTAGTTTTTTTGCATTCTTGAGGACAGCAACTTTTTCATTAAAGTCCTGGAAAAACAAAATAACTGGCCTTTTGACTGGACCTTTGCCTAGCCTGTGAATTCGACCTACGGATTCGCACTTAACTCCCAGTTTTTGTTGAAATGTTTCCCTAATGACTTTTTGCTTAAGATCGTCTTCTGTTTCATTACGGTCTTCAGATATTCCAAAAACCACCAAATTTGACCATCTGCTTGGTGATGTATATGGTATATATTTACGGCATTTATATTATATTTATTATTCAGTAAAAAAATGAACCAGGGTTCAGGTTGATCGAATGATTAATCGAGAGTCATTGTAAAATTTATAAATGGGAGTGGGCTAGAGACCCTTTGCGCCAGATATCGTTCTTATGGGAATACAACCAATTGATTTGAATTGGAACACCTATACACAAATCGGTTTCAACTGAACACACAGAAATTAGTAAAGCCTCGAAGGAAGAATATAGTTCACAGAAACACCTCTGCAATTACACCTGAAATTACACCTCCACTCCCAAAACAAGTTATCTTTGCACTTTAATATGGTGTACAAGGTGTCTCATTTATTTCGTCTATTGATATCACAGTTGATCACAACAACTACCCCATTGTTCTTGGGACATGGCACAGCTTACTAGGCTGAAATGGCTGGCATGTTGAGCAAAGTTATGTTTAGAAAAATGAACACAAGTGGAGGAAGTTCTCATTTCAAATTTGTCCAAAGGTAGCCCTCACTAATGCTAAGTTCATGCAATCCAACAACATGTTTTTTTAATTTTGATGTATCTCCAGTCAGATTAACACATGACAGCTACATGGTGTTTTAAATGGGAGAGATTGGCCTCAAAAATTAACATAACTGGTGAAATTATTTAAATTACGTTTATGCTTCTAATTGTCTAAATTGGTTACCGTATTTACTCGCATAATCCTCACACTATTTTTGGCGGAAAACCGATGAAAAGTTGGGGGGGGGGGGGGTGCGAGAATTACACGGGGAAAGCTTTCCACGAAATGTACAGAGCGAAAAAAAAAAATGAAGTGGCCGCAAATTGGAATTCTCACAGCAGCAACTAACAGCAAACGTTGAGAAGTACTAATTAAAACTTACCTCAACAACAAAAGCACAGGTTCAACACAAGGCAAGATTTATTTGAGACACAAAAACTACAAGCAAATAGTCGAGAATTAGAATACCATACGCAAAGCTTGTGAGCGTAGTGGTAGCGTTCATCGCTCAACAGAAGCCCTCAAAAGGTAAGAGTATGATGTCAGCATTGGGCTGATGGCTATTTAACAGAATCATTCGCAGTTTCCTTCTAAAGAAATAAAGTTTACCATCAATCCGTTTTAGACACATGGCAGGTCCAACTTGTCTTAGTGGCTTTCAGCTGCCGTCACCAGTAGCGAACGGAAAACTCGTAGACACCGAAGAGCCAACCGGCGGCCCTGTTGCCATTGTTTAGTGCATGATCTATCACTTTCAACTTGAAAGCAGCCGCGTAGCTTCAGTATCGCCCAATGTCGGGACAAGATTATTGACACAACATACAAAACACGGGCGCTCACTTGCCACTTTGGCTTGGCTTAAATTGGAATAAATCTCAGTGCAATAATAGTATGCTTGATGCTTAAGAGATGGAGCCAGATGGCGCGCGCTGTCATCATCAGTGGCTGGAACGCGCAGACGACATTATTATGGCAGTTTTCGGGGGTGCGATAATTACTCCAGGAAAAAAAAAAGAAATCGTATTTTTGTTGGGCGATGTGCGGGGTGCGACAATTATGCGAGTAAATACGGTAGACCCATTGACACAATTGAGAATTAGAATTCTATGCTGTTTCCAATGAGTGAACTGGGTTCATCTGCCAGCCTAATTGGTCAAGCCATTTGGATATTGTTTGTGTTACCAACTGGTCTTGTTGGTTATGGACTGACCCTTTGGATTCAGTGGAATTTTCCAAGTGGTGTCTGAAAACACAATTGGGAATTTCTGGTTGTTCCAATGGGATCCTGGTTGTTCCAATGGGATCCAACTGAAAATTTCTAATTGGTCTGGGAAACATCTTTTTTTTTTACTGGGACATCTTCCACAAAAGCGTTCATGTTCAGCGACTCACCCCAAAGGACTGCCTTCCTCGCGGCAATGTTACTTTCGTTTTTGGGAAATCCCAATTCCACATTTAATTTTTGAACGCGAGGAGGGTTTTCGTGTGCACACAGCGTGCACAACACAACAAAGTAGCCTTTCAACAAAGGCTCCCCAGGTGTTGCCATATACCTTTGTAGGGTCGCAAGTGTGCAAAACACCCAAAAAAATGCACTGCCAAGGCAGTGACATCACCCTTTAAACACCCCCGTCACGCGACTTGTGCAGCCATGTTGAATTCCAACAGTGTCATTTGCTTTGTCAATAGTGCAATGCATTGTGGTCTGTACAATGGGTATTATAAAAAAAAGCAATTAAGAGCATTGTCTTTTAAAATGTTTTCTATCCTGTGAATTCAATGAGTAGCCCTTTCATTTCACTCTCTCTCTCCTCTTTTTTTGCATTTTCTTTTTGCTGCACTCATCTGACAAACTCCGGCTAATCGCAAAGGCCACAATTCACCTCAAGACCTTATTGCAGTGCTGTGTGTCACCAGAGCAACCTCTTTGTTTCAGAGAAACATATGGTGCTTAGTTTACTGCAAAGTAATGCAGTTTTGCCAGCGTGTCAGGTGTATGATTCTATTTTGCTATCATTTAGCATGGGTCTAATCAGGAGCAACGAATAACATAAAAGAGCACTTGAGGCTGTCAGGTAATGTAGCAAACAACCCCGCCACCATGGTTGATGGCTTTTGAATCACACCTTTTCAATTTACCCTCCAATGCCTGCAGAAAGCAGGCCTTTTTTTTTTCCGCGATGTGTGTAGTTTTCTTTATTCTTGACTCGAGACAGCAACTTGCATAGAAACAAAAAAAAAAAGGGGTAGTCTGGAACTCACCATAGTGACGGCCTGTGGGTGATGGTGAGTAGAGAAATGCCGTAGTCCTTGGCAGCCTGGTAGATCTGGCTCTCGACATCTATGGAGACCGCACTTGTGCATTCGTCGAGCAGCGCAAACTGGGGCCTGCACCAAACAAGACCACCTGACGTCACCACATGTAGCGGCAGTGGTCACTCGTGCCTATCACTACATCCAAATCTCATTTTAATGAAGCTGCATTTTACACAATATAAGCTCGTCATACACGAAAATTCATTGTAAAAGTATATTCGTAACACTTTTATCTACTGCGAGAGTACTCTTCATTTTCTTTATTATAACCAATACTTCTTTATCTCTAGGTTCGTTATATAGAGGTTTGAGTGTACAACATTTCATGTTAGCTAAGTTAGTTATAAGCGAGTGGGGCGATCCCTTGGAGAGATCGAAAATGTGTGTCCGGACGACGTGATTGTTTTGTCTGGTTTCTTTATATGCTATGCGGCTATATTTGAGGTGCGCGGAACCAAAAACTCCATATCCAAAAACTGATCCAGCGTGCCAAAAAATATGTTTGAAGGTGGCGGTGAATGCGTCCTCGCTATTGCTTGCCATGACATTTCCCGATTTCACGGGTGAATTAAATATGCACAGTAAACATTGTGTCGAAATTTTTTTTTTCTTTTAATATGCATCACAGTGAATTACACCCATGCTTTCTTTAATCGTAGCTTAGGTGGCAGTGCACATCAGAAATGTAAAATACATAATAATAGACAGAAGACATATGCTCCATCTACTTAAAACTAGTTGGTTATTCATGATGAACTACGAGATCATTTTAACTATGAGCAATTCATTCTTCGCCCTACATTACGTTCCGAAACCAGAAACAGCAGTATTAGACGAAACTATGCTTTGGTGTGACACGCGCCAACTCCCGCAAGCTTTTTGTGAATATTCTGCCCGTACTTCAAGCTTTAGATAAAAAACTTTTGCAGAAAGGATGCTCAACATCTGCACTCTTCAAGGTATTCACTTTTTCTTTTTCCACACTGTTCCAAAATTCATTGGAGCTGGCCTTTCCAGGCCAATCGTTGTTAAGATAGTGCTAACGCACCTGTGGTAGAAAAGGCGAGCCATGCCCATCCTCTGCTTCTCACCCCCTGAGAGGATGTCCTTCCAGTCTCCAACTGCATCCCATCCTGCAAAACAGTGGCAAAGGCAACATGACATGGTGAATGTTTTGCAATTGAAATGACGACAAGCCGGGATTTCGCTCATGAATGTTCAGCATACCATCACTCTCGTTCAAATGGGTTTATAACATCCATTTTGTTCCGCGGCACACAGTTCCCATCCAAATTATTGTGATATGCTGATTTGCTTCGTTTCGCAATTTAAAGAAAATCTCCATCCCAAAGAGGGTCATCAAATATCCAACATATTGAAAATCTAAACAACGGGCCAGACAAAAGAATTCAAGTGCATTTGATATAAGCATATAAATAGTATACACAAACACAGCGTGTTTGATCAAAATCAAGACGGCATTTCAGAGATGGCACTTCCCTGAGTAATATAGTACTCTCACTATCTTGAACTAACAAGAAAAAGAAAACAATGAAGCTTCCATAGCTCGGCATTGCCACAACAAGATTATAAGGCCCACGGCCTGCAGATGCCTTAGCATTTGCATAACACAGCGGAAAGTCAATGCAATGCTATGTCACGTTGAGGTTCAGTATAATGAAGGTTGCCCAACTCAAATCGTAAGCGAAAGCAAACGAAGCTCTTCCACCCACCCCAGTTACCTGTAGCTAATGGCAACATCTTAGTTTATTTGAATGAAACAGCCTAGCGGCATGCTCGATGAGATTGACACTAAGGAACACAGCATGCAGAGCATGTCATAAAATAGTTGGGGTGTACCACATACACAAAGATTCTGCCTCATGCGTCAGTATATCTTCTGTGACTCTTTCGAGTAGATAAGCTGAATTTGCGAGCCCCGCATCGTCCACCTTGATCATCTCGCATAAACTACTTCATCTGTTTTTCTTTGCCGCATATTGCTATGCACTTTCACAAAGTTAATGTCACGTATTCATGTTTAACCCCCCCCCCCCCCAAAAAAAAACTGTTTTTCAATGAGCAGCACAGACCATGCTGCAATGTATGAGAAGTTTCACGATTGTCTGACATCATTCTGTGAAGACAACATGCAGGACGCGCACTGTCGAACTTTTTTCGAGAGCTTTCACAAGCGCCAGTGATAATGCTAGAACCTTTGTTGCCTCGTGTATAAGCGCCGCTGCACTCGCCCTTGACGGCCAACGCTGTTCTCGCCATTATCGATGTAAAGCTTGAGTTGTTCGTACTTTGCACCTTTACTGGTGACAGGTGCACCCAAACAAAAAGTTTTGTCATAGCTGCTATGACAAAAAGTTTTGTCATAGCTGCTACCTTCGTCAAAGTGGGACACCGTAGCAATTGCATCTTTTGCCTCCCAACAAAGTATTTGGCTCCAAATCAGCACACATGTCTATTTATTTATTTATTTATTTGATAATTGCTGGCTCTGGGGGAGTCGCTGCATAGTGGTTAACAATTATTAGCTGTCTATGAAATGAACTTAGTAAAGAGACACAGGAGCATAAAATATATGAACTCTTGTCTTGATTGCGGCCCATTGTTTACATTGTGCTGTTATTTTGAATACCAATAAAATTCAAGCCAACAGCACAGTTACCTTTGAGTGAAACTGCGATGAAACTAGTGGTATATTTATTAAAACGAATTATGGGGGGGGGGGGGGAATGCAAAACCTAACTGAGTAACTAGACAAGCAAAGTGGCTTGTTGGCCTTTTCGGTATAGCATGCACAATTCAGTGCTGTGTTTACCTTTATGAATACAAGTTTGCTGTATGCATAGAGCAGTGCCTTAATCAGTTTTTTTTTTTTCCACAAGAGAAGAGGAGCAGTGGGGCTGGTCAAGTGGCTGCTGTCTGATGCCAACTATGCACCCAAAACATCATTATAACAAAGTCGCACATGACACAAAAATAACTTCTTTATATCCGAAAATCCGTTGTAAGCATGCATTCATAACACTGCATCTACGACAAGACTATTATAAGTTCACTTCCTCGTAACTGATGCATTAGACTATCAGTAAACTGAAATCTGCTAAACAGAACTGATGCGTAAATGAAACAATCCTTCCGACAATATTGGTTTCATGCTTGTATTCTGCAACCCTGTTGATCTCTTTCAGTAAACGGAACTCCCGTTAAATAGGACATGTTTTCCTGGTCCCTTCAGGTTCAGTTTCACGAGAGTCTACTATAACATAATTGTATTTGTTAAATTGAGGTTTCAGTGAACACAATATTCAGGGAGGAGAAGCAAAGAGCACATGCTCCGGCATGTCACCTCTGCTGCACGTACACAGACTCACAGCATGTGGACAGCGACAACAGTCGACTGCCAGTAGCTTGACCGTTTGCTCTGTATCAGGAGCCAATTTGCCAAAGGATCACAGCCTCGAGCCGTTTTCGAAACACCGAGAGATACCATTAGGCTGAACACAGACTACATATAGCCAATGTGAAAGCATCGTACGGTACCTCCTTCCCTGATGATGATGTGCTGCAGGTGCACTATCTTGAGAATGCCCTCGAGGTCACCGTCGTTGAAACCACGGTTCCTCATGTCTTCCAGTGTGTCCGGGTAGATCACCTGATCCCGCAGTGTACCCAGAGCCATGTACGGCCTGCGGGAAGCCACAGGCAAACATGATAAAATGTAATAAAATTCTACGCCTAGTGACGACATTGAAGTTAAAACCAGCTAAGGGGAGGGGTATTAGAATGACCTATTATACATGCTGAAAGTGTGTGGTTTGAAATTTATTTGAAAATGTGTGGGTTCCTGCTTCAAAGCAACATGCCACAGGGAAAAGTGAACCAGGGCTGGAGTCTCCAGAATTCTCTAAGCCCAACGTTCTTTTCGCGACCGTTGACGAATACGGACGTCATGAGAATTTCCAACAAAATGACTGATGGCAAATGCACTTGCCATAAAGAAAAATTTGGTCCTGCACGAAACGAATAGTTCCATGCAATAGTGTTGAGCAACTCTTCATAGTTTTGTTTCATGATGCTAGATGGCCGCACTTTTCCATGTTGATTGATTTGTAGGGTTTAACGTCCCCAAAACCACCATATGATTATGAGAGATGCCGTAGTGGAGGGCTCCGGAAATTTTGACCACCTGGGGTTCTTTAATGTGCACCCAAATCTGAGTACACGGGCCTACAACATTTCCGCCTCCATTGGAAATGCAGCCGCCACAGCCGGGATTTGATCCCGCGACCTGCGGGTCAGCAGCCGAGTACCTTAGCCACTAGACCACCGTGGCGGGGCACTTTTCCATGTTGGGAGATTTGTACCATGGCTGTCGTGGAAAAGCCATCTTCGCATAATCTTTTTTCATGCGACTAGTGAAATAAAAGAACTCCATAAAATTGAAATAATGGCATAGTTTTATTCCAAAAAAAAAAGCTCTACAAATTGAGCAAAAAAATTTTCTGTCAATTTTGGCACACATTTTTTCCTCTTCTTTCAATCGCGAAATGTTTAACATACACTTAAACCTAACTGCACAATTCTTCTCTACTTGTCACATTCAAATTGGGGCTTTGCGTTTAATAGAAGAATACCATAACCAGTGTTCCACCGTGGCAGTTCTTCCTGCAACACTTTTTGCAGCACGGTCAGAAAACGCTGCCGATCGGTAGTCAAGGCTCCCGAGAACACACAAGCCAAATATTGTAGCGCAGCACACAGCCTGGAGTTTACAATAAATTCTCATAGTCAGCTGAGAATCGCTTTCTCTTCCCTCGACAAACAACGCTACAGGCTCGAAATCCCTATGTCCTAGGCCGAGTATCAGCCATTGGCAGGTTTGAGGATGGTGCGCTCGGTCATTACTGGAACCGCCATGGGAGGCCGGGACTTGACCACACGTGCACGCACAACCACCCTAAAAGCCGTGCATTCGAAGAAAAAAACAGAACATAAAAAAATGCTCTAGGACACGCAGCACGCACGAAGTACTTTTTTTGTCCCCGTGCCATCCTTCCCGACTTAGTTTCCAGCACTTTCGTCAGCATGAGAAAAGAGAATGCGATTCCAGCGTGCAGCAAATCTTTGCAACTCCGCTTGTACTAGATGAATTTTAAAAATATTCCCGGCTGTGAATTTGCAAGGCAATAAGCTCCATTAGTGAATTCATTCATGGCCACTGGAAAAAGTGTTGCAGGGCCCCTTTAATAGGACTGCACCGCTCAAAAATAAAAGATGTACTTAGCTGATGCGGCTCATGCTGACGTACTCCAACCTCTAACTATTCGTTTCGCATTGAACGCATCGTAAATAGCTAGTAAATGCACGTCACTGTCTTCATTTTGTTATGACACCTTCCCAAAGGCATTCTTTGCACTATGCCAATCAAAAATAATTATGCTGAAAGTTTTGCAGTAATATAGTCAATTGTAATTTTCAACACATGCCTCTCCACAATAGCAGATTGAGGTACCGCAAAGTGCTGGTAGAGTAAGATTTACTTTTGAGAGTATCCCGTATAGATATAACAGAACAAAGAATGTGGTGCTTTGAGCAGTATCGGTTAGGACAGAGCAAATTGTTGTTATCCCGTGAGTCTACATACATACTGCAGCGGCAGAAATGTCAAACTCATGGCAAGAGCAACTTGAAATGGCACGTTTCTATACACATGCATTCCTTTTGCCTCGTGGCCTACAGTTGTGCAGCCAACATACCAATCTCAAATGGTGTGCACTAGCAGCAGAAGAAAGTGCTTGTTTCTAATTCAGTGTTGTTCATGTAACATGCCTCTCTAAGGCTAGCTGCAAATTGGTCCTTTGCTTGCTAGGTGGAAAGCATTACACTTGCTTTTTTTTTTTCTTCGAGACTTGACAATTAGCATTTTTATAACCTTCACAAACGCATGAGACGAGGGCACTTCCATTAAAGATGAGACTGCACTGTACAAAGTTTCACTTATTGTGGTCGCCTTATAGGTTTTGAAAATCCCCAAGCACAGTATAACTATAAACTTTTTAGATGAAAAAGTCACGACAAAGAAGTGTCACTGGGCACAATGTTTTGACAAGAAGCCCTGCTGAAGACAAAAAAAAGGGGGAGACAAATTCGCTTGTTGGAACAATGGCTACAGTGACATCACATGTTTACAAATCTTTCATCTCTTCAAGTATTCACCTTCTCCCGAACACCTGCGTCTTTATTTCACACTCTAAGTACAAGGAACCTTGCGCCACAAGTTTTGATCAAGCGATATACCAACAAAACCAAACCATATGCAACTCTCCAACTCTACTTCTAGTTACTTTATTTTTCATATGGCAAGTACGGACAGCGGAACCACGTGGCACGATGTGAATGACTAAACCGTTTTAACTAAGATGCCGAGGCACCTTTGACAAACGTGGCCCCATCTCTTACGCCATCAGCCAGCCTCCTCATTTCTGTACACACGACCGTAATAGCATTTTATAACAACACACACACACACCTCTGGGGAATGTAGAACATCTGCTTGTTTGGCGGCCTTTGCAGCTGGCCGTTGTAGAGTGGCCAGAGACCACTGAGAATGCGGAATAGGGAGCTCTTGCCACAGCCATTGGGTCCCGTAATGAGAAGGTGCATGTCTTGCGTCATCTGCAGGCCGAAGGCAAATGAGAACAAATCACTGAAGACAGTGCACCACTAACACCAACGTGCTGAATGTTGGGCTCCTGGGTTATGATGTATTATACACTGAAGTAAGGGCTGCCCTTGTACAAGTGTGGCAACCCGAAACTACCCTCGAGCACAGTGCAGCAAGAACAAATCACATGAGGAGTACAGTGGTAAAAGCTGATAGGGTCCAACGTGCATGCGTCTAAGACAACTTGAAGGCAAAAGCAATGTTTCTTCTTTTTCTACTCCGTCAATGTAGATATCATCCCACACTCTCTTCTGAAATTTCTGTGTAACTAATGTGCTTTTTCACTGCCTGCTCCAGGATTGAGACCGACCGCGTGGAACACCGCATGCAAAGGATGCCGTAACATAATCGGGATGTACCTCATATACAAAGATGCTGCCTTGTGGATCAGTCAAACTTCTATCACTATTTCAAGTAGATAAGCTGAACTCGCAAGCCCTAAATCGTTCACCTTGATTACCTGGCATACACTAGTTGTCTTCCAGTATATGCTGCAAGCTTTCTGTATACGTATCCCCTGGTTGTGCACTGTCCCCGTAATCGGGTCTCTTTTGACCAAGCAGCAATGTGATGCATAGGTCGGCGAATTCACTCATGAGTCGACCGATTTGGACTCGCTCCGACTCGGATCAAGCCACGAGTCTGAGCGAGTCCGGGTGAGTAATATTTTTGCGAGTTTGAGTCCAAGTGAGTCTGCCTGAAGAAAATTTTCACGAGTTTGAGACCGAGTGGGTTTGGTTCAAGAAAATTTTGGAGAGTGTGAGTCGGAGCGAGTCCAAAGTGCATTATATATTTTTCCAGTGTCGGACTTTCTTTTGCCGACATGAAGTGTCGTGTGGTGGCACCATCATGAGACATGTTACGTGACATATTAGTAATGTCATTATACCATCATCACATGATGATTTTTTGCACCCCTCGTGTTTCTCATGTGATGGTGCCATCATGAAGCATCATGATATATGAAATCACAGTAATTTGATGATGACATCATCACGTGACAATTTTCGCATCACTCGTGTTGACAGCAACAGGCGATTTTGATGTTTTTATGAGGCAGGCAAGGCTTTTGCCTTAGAAACCTTCAAAAATCCCCGTTTTAACTTTCAGGTTGTCAAATATTACCACTTGTGTTCATTGGTCCCTTGTAGCGTCCATGTTTTCCGCTGCACTGTGCTCAAAGTTGTTCCCAATGACAGATCAACAAGCCAACATCCATACTATCATCCCATAGTGGCAGCCAAGAAGATCCAAAAGGGAAAAGGAAATAACTGTAGAGGGTGTCAGAGTCACAGTCACGGGCATGTTCAACAGGATGGATGGAATGGAGACAAAGTCTATCCACCATCGAGTGTGTGTTAAAGCAAGAATGGGCAGCAGCCATAGGCAGAGAGTATGGAGGGGGGGTCTGAGAGCTCAGGCCCCGTCCGGTTTGCATCATAGGGGCCATTCCCCCCTCCCCCCCCCCCCCTTGTGCAGGCCCAGGGTATGTTTTTAGAACTTGGCTTAGGCTCCCACCTACCACCAAAAGACTATTGGCCACCCTGTCTTGCAACTATTTCACAAAGGACTGTTCATGCTCGTTCCTTTTCCTTTCAGGCTTTTAAAATTTGTATGATGGGCCCGTGGTTGCATTGAGAACGGAGTCACAGAATAACCAATATTGCGGCATTGGCACTGCTTTTGTGCAAAATGTATGAGTACGCACCAAGAATATGATAGTTTTTATGTAACAGACATTTGCTTATTATCTTTTAATACCTTCTACAAGTCTTTTTCTCTCTCTCTGTCTCTCTCTCTCTCTCTGTCTCTCTCTCTGTCTGTCTGTCTCTCTCTCTCTCTCTGTCTCTCTCTCTCCCTGTCTGTCTGTCTGTGCACGTGCGTGCATGCGTGCGTGCGCGTGCATGCGTGCATGTGTGTGTGTGTGTGTGTGTAAAAAAGCTGTACACTTCTCAAAAACTGTTTATTGGGTCAACATTTTGATTGGAGATCGATGTTCGGTCGAAATGCCTAGCAATTTTTTAGGAGCGTACACCTTTTTATACATTTCTTTACAGCAACAAAAGACTCGCTTTCCATAATGTACAGTGTAATATATATATATATATATATATATACCGAGAAAGAAAGAAATGTGGAAAAGCAACCCAAGCGCCCTCCACCCCCTATGGGAATATGAAAATTCTCCGCCTATGTGCAGCAGAAATGGTTGCAAGAACAGCAGTGACAAGACAAAAGGACATTTGTTAGGCTACTTGGTTGGCCATCATTACAAATAAAATTTGGCACAAAAAGGTAACACACACAGAAGAATAACACAGAAAAGTAAATGTGCTACAAAAATAACATTTTTTTTTTTGGCTTAAGAAGCTCATATCACATGGTTCCCAAAAATTTCGGCATGAGGGCCTGTCCCACTGTAAGGGTTACGTGCTTTCATATTTACAAAGTTATGGAGGCTTTTCTGCAAGTGGATATAATTAGGACTTTGGAATTGCTTCAACAAAAAAAGGGAATATGATTTATTTTCCAAATTTTTAAAGCCAACTCAGATCCTCCTTTAGTGGTAGTGATAAATAAAGTGGTCAGGAGCAACTGTTAAACAGTTGAGGTGAAGAGGAGAGGGGCAAGCGCCACAGGTGATAGACAATTTATATGGTCCCAGGAACGGTGAGAACAGACACTGCAAGAACGTTAAGGAAAACTGACATCGTCAGCGTTGACCTGACGAACATCAGGGTTCCAGCAGGAATCGAACCCAGTACATAGTAGCAGTTGTTCCTTTTCATAACTGAGGGGTAGAACTCTCCTGTTGTCCAGTGGAACAACGGGCATGATTCAAACTGTCAAAGTGCAAGCAAGTCCCCGAATTCAAACCAGCTAAAATAAAATTTCTTGTGACTGAAAGACAGCATAAAGAAACATTTGTAGGTTACAAAGCTAATGGCAAAACAAAATGTTGGTTTGTTCCAGAAATGAGACTGCGGACGACACTTTCGGCTAATGCAGACGGAGGGCTGAGAAACGGAAAAGAGGAGCTCACCGTGAACGTGAGACTGGGTACGACGACATCACAGTTGGGTGTGACTATGGGCACGTTCTCGAGGACGATGATGCCATTCCTCTCGATCACAGTGCCTGCGCAATATTGAGGACGCGATATTCCGAATTGTGGGCTACAAGGGCACACACACATTTCCTTAAAAGTAAAATCCCTAACAGGAAAGCTAACACAACTAGACACGAGAAATGTGTGTGCAAAACTGACCCTTGATCTCGGGCATGCCGTCTTTGAAGGTGAGAGCCTTGAGGCCAAAGGTCTTCTTGGCGCAGCCATCGCTGGAGATGGCCAGCGTCCGCTGGTAGCGGCACTCGCTCACGTCCTCGAAGACCGAGAGCATCTTGGACACTCGCCCAGTGTAGCCGGCCAGCTCGGTGATCTGCAAAAAATGCCACGGTTTAACGCGGTTAAGCCAAGTTTGCCGAGCGAGAGTTCGATTTTGCTTGTTTCGGGAAACGACGAGACTATTTGTTCGCAAAGACTTCATTGCATGCCTTGGTTTAGGCAAGAAAGAAAAAAGTCTACACACTTTAATAGCACGCTGCTACGAGGAAGCAAATGTGTTGCCCTACCAGACAACACAGATGCCCTTCAGCAGAAACGCTGAGGCACTTGGGCAACAAGAGAGGAACTCGGATGCAGCCAGTGCATGAAAGGCTCAACTTCTTCTTTTCCACAAACGCACTGCACTAGCTTTTCACTGGAACTCTCTGGTCGCGACATTGGCCTCGCCTCAGGTTGAAGGTTGGATTCGCGGAGCGAGATGTTTTCTGGGTTTGGAGCTGAAGCAGCAGAGTTGCCACTCTTATACAGCACACTACAAAATGACGGAGCAAATTTTTCGAAGAAGGATAGAAAAGAAAAGTTGGCATTTGTAGAATTTCTTTACAGCCACTTACATCAAAGTGTGGAACCAGGATCCTCTATTACTTTCCTAATAAAGTACCACGATAAATTTTAGTACAGAATGATGTTGACATAACACATTAATGAGGACAGTAATATACGAGTCTAACAAAAAAAAATAGCCCTTAAATTTACACTTCGTTCGCCTTCTTTGATATCACATTGTCACAGATCACTTACAAATATTATAATGTCATCAAATTTAACTAAAATTACAGCATATTCACGATTAATTACATTGATTCTCAATTAGAATACTAGCACAGTTTCAGCTTTCGGGCGGTGTCCGGCCTAAATATTTATGTCACCACTAGGACTGATGGCGCACAGTTTTTAGCCTTGAAGTAACACTTCACAGCGAGACGCCCCGTCCTGCGGCGAAGCAGCTCCCCACTTCACCCCAGAGCAAAGAACGAGCGTTGAAACCTCGGCATGCGATTGATTGATTGATTGATTGCTTGATTGATTGATATGTGGGGTTTAACGTCCCAAAACCACCATATGATTATGAGAGACGCCGTAGTGGAGGGCTCCGGAAATTTCGACCACCTGGGGTTCTTTAACGTGCACCCAAGTCTGAGTACACGGGCCTACAACATTTCGGCCTCCATCGGAAATGCAGCCGCCGCAGCCGGGATTTGAACCCGCGACCTGCGGGTCAGCCTCGGCATGCGATTCAGATAATGCTGTTAGCACTACAGTTTACGCATGATCGACTGTGCCGGGCCCATAAAAATATTTTGACGCTGCTTTATGCAATTCATTCCCCAAAATGTGCCCGTTTTTTTTTTTTTTTTTTTGGGGGGGGGGGGGGGGGGGGCTTTTGGAAGTGCTTTTTGCCGCAGCACCAATTTAAACGTTTGAACTGAAGCTAACACGGCTGACAACTAAATGGAAGTTGAAGTTACGCATAGGCGCATTAGTTGGTGTCATTATACCATTAGTTACCCTCTCCACATCAGTTCATTATCGCCGCTTGCATGCGACCACGCACTTCAATATAATTATAACAATTATAACATTAATTGTTATAATTAATTATAACAATTATAACACAATTATAATAATTATAACACGCGTTCTTAAACGAGCGGTTCTCCGTATTGTGCAAGGCAAACGAAAATCCACAGGGAAACCCACTGTATTGCAGACTCAGAACGCGGATAAGCGTTCAGTATCAACAGTGGAAAGAAAGCGACCACCTTGGTTCAACCTCAATTCAATCAGAAATCTACTAGTGTTCCAATCATTTCCTTCCGCGCAGTGCTGTTTCCTTTTGCGACTTTTAACAATGCTGCCAGAGGCCACGTGCACTATTCGTACCACTACCAAGAGCAATGGCCTGTCATATCGGACCTCACGCATCAGCAAGTCTCGGTGCCCATGTTGTAACGCCCGTTGACTACTTGACCGTCCAAGGGATGGCGCTACTTCCCTTAGTGGCGATGATGTTTCGCAGAAAAACGAAACACACGAAGCCAGGGTTCTTAAACGTGCAGCCCGCGCCACAGCTTCAACAAGGAATGAAGTTATTCGGCTTTGCTGAAGGTTACTCGCATTATTTTCTCACCCATTGCAATAATTAGCGTTTTGTTTACGTGAACCGCAGAAACGAGAGTGGTGTACGTCCCAAGCCTTTGTTTCGATATGCAGCCCGTACGATCACCATGCATTAAACACACAACAGTGGAACGAAATTTCCGTATTTAGGAATAAGCGTACATATCTCAGTCGTTCTTCCAAATGCCAATGTTATATGACATTTTGTTCAAACTCAACCTCCTCCCCTTCCACCGCAGACTTCTTCAGTGCCTCAGCCCTTGCAGGGCTTAATTAAATTCCGTGAACATGGCCCGCTGGCTGATGCAAGTTGTAGGTCACTGCGCTTAGCGCACCAAGAATTATAAGCTTACGGGAAACAAGATTTGCGAGAATGCCGGGCTCCATTATTGCCAGGTAACAAGGCTGGCTGAAAGCTGCAACCTGTCACTTGTTTTTTTTTTTTTGTGATTTGCTGTCTCACCGATTGAATTAGATGCGAAACACATTACACCAAGCCGAAATTAATTTGCCGTGGACTCCGTGACCGGCGAAGCTTTGTCGCCTGGTGTAGCATCTGCTTAGTGCTTGTCGCTTCGCGACTGCTCGTTTTTCCTGAGTTCAACTGGTTTTAACTGGCGCGCAATTGATATTTTGTTTGATTACAGCTCCACCATCCTAGCTCATACTAAACCTCACCTCGCTGCCCTCTTACCAAATAAAAAAAAAGGGTTTGTTTGGCGACATCAGATAGCAACAGGTGGCTTGCACTGATGTCACCAAGACAGCCCAGTTGGTGAACCTCATGGCACACAGAAGGTTGATGACGTCGGCTGTTAATGTTATCATCGCATCACTTACAAGTTCTCTTGCTATAGTGACGCTCAGAGGCCAATCGTACTCTAGCTGGCCACACCGTTATCATATCGAAGCAAGTTAACCGCGATGTGATTATCACCACGGTCGCCATGTTGGTAAACCAGTAAGTTCTGAAGCTGCGACCATGACGTCACGTGCAGTAACGAGGTTTCTTGCAAGATGGCGCGACATACCGTTCTTCGCTTTCCGCTAGAGTTGGTGAAATTTCTTTTGCAGTGACGCTACATTCTGTGGCGTTTAAGTTCTTCAACCCTAATTCGCGGTCTTTTCATTTCCACGCTGGGAGACTGCCAGTTCCTTTGACTGATAGTCCGCATGACGACGCGCCTCTTTTTGAGTTGGGGGGAAGGGAGGTGGGGATGATCACCTCTCAGAGAAAGGGTAGGGGGCCGCGTTGTGGAATAACCTTTTGGGGGCGTTGTCGGGATCCTCATGTCGGTGGGTGGGGGTGGGGTGGTAAACAGATCATTCGAGGAGTTCGTTTATATTCATCGCGAAATTTCACCACTCACAAAAGACAAGGTCATAGTAAAGGAGAAAAAACAGGGAGAGGGGGGGTATAAGTTTTGACCGGGGTTGAACAGTTGCATCTCCTGTTTGCTCTCACCTCCTTGTAGGACGACATGAGCCTTTCGGTGGCATCGCCGCCGGCAATCAAAATGTTTTTGGCCGTCGTGATGAACTGCGTCCTCGTGCTGACGCCGTCATCATTCTGGAACGTCTCCTCTGCAAAAGAAAACAACGGCGAAGCTCGTCAGCTGAGTTGCGCTGGCAAAACCAATTAAGCAAGACGGAACTTCGCAGACGCATTCTACTGCGGAAGAACCAGCATCTACGACTTATTTAGAGGGAGGACACGAAAATTTTCGAAGCCGCGTTTACTCTGCCATACAAATATCTTGCATACAGTCACGGCGACGCGGCTCCACGCAAGTGTTAAGCTCGGTAAACACCGATAACATATCCCATTTTCACAGTAAGCCCATTTTCACACGGCGCACCTACTGGCATCGACACTAGCGTGACGTCAGGCTACAGTGCCATTTGTGATCATGGCGGAAAGGATTGTGATGAAACTTGACGCACCAATGCGAATGGCCGCTTCTGCGTCCCCAAGACCATTTAAAATGGCGGTTTGCGCATCACACACAGAGGGCCACGGAGTAAAATGGCCGCGGAAACGTCGCGACATATTGCGCCACCACGTGCCGGGTCGCGACGTTAGTGCACGGTAGGAACCGAAACCAGCTCTTGTAACACTGTAATCTCTTTTCCAGAGTGCACACTCACGCTTACCAGTACATTTTCCAAGTTCTTGAGGGTTTCGTCCCTGATTTGATGCGGGCACAAAAAAAAAAGAACGGGAAGTGATTTTTTTTTTTGCCAGTGACCCTTAAAGTTAACATGGTTTGTTTAAATAGCATTTCGAAAAAACATCTTAGTGCTTGTTTTGTGCCAAAGAAGCTCAGTTTGAAAGAAAATCACGTTTTAGGGTTCGCCATGCTGGTAGACCAATTCAAGCTGCCCACCCATGCAGCTATTGAGCTGAGCTTATACACTGAACATCTAGCTCCTGAGCCGAGATACCGGAGGATGGTCTTCAGCTTATCGGAAATCATATCAATATATATATATATATATATATATATATATATATATATATATATATATATATATATATATATATATATATATATATATATATATATATATAGTCAGTGGGAGTAATAATTCAATGGGCCAGTTAGTCTTCGTGAAGGTATGGGATATTGCACAACGGGAGCGTTGTCAACAAGGATAAATATATTTATTTCCCAACAGTTTCGTCAGGGCAAAAACAAACACCCCCAAAATTCAATCAGGGTGCCATCCCTGCGGAAAATCTCGATGCAAGGTATGCCCACAGATGCTCACGACACGTGAATCCAAAGCGAACTTCTCGGATTTCAAATTCTGCATAACTGAAAGCCTTAATTGTGACTCCAGTAACGTAATATACATGCTACATTGCAACATCTGCGGACAAGAATATATCGGCCAAACAGACACGCCATTTCGGCTGCGGTTCAATAATCACCGGTACCACGCCACTTCACTGCCGAAGCTACCTTTATCTAGACATCTGCGCCTGCCAAACCACAGTTTTAAAAATATTAGCGTAACTCTTTTGCAGTCTGGTTTTTCAAACAGACGCGAGCGCGAACAGCGTGAGGCATATTTTATTTTCAAATTTCGTACATTAGTAGCCGGTATCAATGAGGACCCCGGAAAACTCAACTGCCTCCGAGAAGTAAGCCAGGAGAAAATTGGTGACAAAGGTTGATAGCTGGAGACCATGCTTTTTTCTGACTGACTCGTACGTGTACACTGTCCTTCTTTTTTTTTTTTTTTCACATGCACATACAAAGTGTTTACGTTCGCCTACCACTTCATGACCGTTGAAGGGAAACGGACGAAGATTAAAGGTAAATAGCCGACCGACCCATTAACGAGAAACCTTTCCTTTACACACACCGCCCGCCGCCCGCCGAACGACCAAACGACCAATTACGGGGAAACCCCTTTCTTTAGGCACGCCGTCCCGGACCCTCCCGGCACCGCGGCGACAATCTTGGGTGGCCCGACACACGCCAAGAACTGAACAGCACGTGATATGAACCGTAGGTGGATGTAGACGGACAGTTGGCTTCGTTTTCAGTTTTGACAGTGGTTCTTCCTCTTTTTTACTTTCTTTCTTTTCTTTCTTTTTCCGTCTTTTTTCTCTCTTTTTTTTTCCTTCTTCCAGTTCCCTCTCACTCTCGCAAACGTCTTTCAAGGCGAGAGGGACGCGGCAGCAAGGAAGTTCATGTCAGTATAACTCATCCCCTGATGAAGGGAGGTCCCCTCCCGAAACTGTTGGGAAATAAATATATTTATCCTTGTTGACAACGCTCCCGTTGTGCCATATCCCATATATATATATATATATATATATATATAATATATATATATATATATATATATATATATATATATATATATATATATATATATATATATATATATACCTATAAAGAGAGAGAGAGAGACGTATAATATGACGCATAACCCCTTAAAGGGACAGCTCAACTTTCCTTCGGTTCCCACAATTCTCCGAAATGGGTATAATGGTCTCCAACAAGAGTTGCACGTGTGTCTTTAAATGGGCAAGTCAATGTACGCGGCAAATCCTATTTATGGTTTACACACACACACACACACACACACGCACACACACACACACACACACACACACACACACACACACACACACACACACACACACACACACACACACACACACACACACACACACACACACACACACACACACACACACGCACACACACACACACACACACACACACACACACACACACACACACACACACACACACAGATGACTTTTTTTTAATTTCCTCGACGTGTAAGGGACTATTCTCAGACGTGCTACCGCGCAAGAACGAGAAAATCTCATTTTCAACCCGCAGTAACGTCGAACTCAGACTAAGAGAACGAAACGTTTCTATTTAAAGGGCCCCTAAACCACGCCGAGTTCAAAGGCGAGAGATCTTCCTCGCCTTCCCTATACCCCTTTTTACACAAGCGATATATCCCCTCCTCGCCACTTATTCCTTCAGAAAGCACGTGGAACGTCGGCACAAAAGCGCCGAGCCAGTCAGTATTTGGCGCTTTTCGACGACACGCTGCCATATAGCTCCCCCTTGCGCAGTCGCACAAAACGAAGTGAAACCAGTTTGCCGCGCACAACAGTCAGTGCGAGACAAGGCAGAAAAGGGCGCGCGACTTCACGGCAGAGCGGGACAGGCGATACATATATCTCACATCGACCAATCGAGAGCGCATTTCATCCTGACGTCACGTGAACAAACAACAAATTCTGCCGCAAAGATGGGAGAGAATAACGCGCCCGTTTTTTTTTTTTCGTAATTTGGTTATTCAGGGCAAGACGTTCCCGCAGTATTTTTTTCTTTTTTACCACGAAGATCATAAAGCACGGAGAAAGTACATCGGCCACGTGTAAAAAAAAGTATCATCGCAGACCAGCCCGAGCTCTCTTTGTCAGCCTTCCGTGTTCTTCCGCGCTCCCAGAACACTTGTGACGATTTGTCCGGCGTGGTGTGCAAGAGCGCTGATAGCGACGAGAACGACTAAAAACAGAGTGAAAGACAGATGCACTGAAAAACGGAGAAAGAGAGGTAGAAAGAGAAAACGGAGAAAGAGAGGTAGAAAGAGAAGTTAGAAAAATGTTACAAAAATATATACACAGAGAGAAAGAGACGAGGGAAAAAAGTGACATATAAAAGATACCGAAAAAAAAAAAGATAGCAAGCCAGAAAGAGAAAGAAAGAGAGTGGAGAAATAAGTACATCTACAGAAAAAAAAAAGGCAGCAGTCAATTTCTAGTCATTTTAGGCAAATTCACAAGGAGCCCTGTGATTTTTTTTTTCGGAAATCGTGCGCCGTTTCATTTTACGAGCGTGGGCTATTTGCCGAGAGAAACAGCAGCCACAGTCGGCTGTGTGCGGGCCTGGGCTTTTGCGCTTTCGGACGCTGCAAGAAATGACGGCGCGTCAAACTATACTGCCAGGGAAAGTGAACACAGCAGGCGGTGAAGCGCGTCCTTCGATATATATAAAAGGTCAGCGGCAAACGCTCAACCTTCCCTGTTTGATCAGCTCTCGCGAGCTACGTCGTTTGCGCAAGCTCTCGTGACGTCACACCAGTTCGAATGGGCCCGTCACAACAGCAGGCACGAGGCATTTTGTCGCAACGTATACCGTTCATCGTAAAAAATACGTTGTAAGGAAAATGTCGGGCCAACCGTCGTGCACAGCTGAGTGGTGCGTGTAACTATACTGTACCAAGCCGATATGTATAGCCTGAGACAGTCATTGCAACTGAAGTTGTCCGCATCACGTGACATCAGCGTCACTCCATGGATGGCGTCACAACGAGTGTTTTGGGGGAGGGGGGGGGGGGTCTGCCGATTTCAGCGGCATTTTACTGACAGGAAAGGTCTATATGGAAAATTCCGTAGACAGGATTTTTCCACACTCCTCCTATAAACTGCCCCGAGTAATATGGCTGCTAGACTGTTCCGGATTGGGGTGGGGGGGGTAACTGTTTTTTATGCAGTGTCACGCTGGTGTTTCTTTGTGTGCGTGTATGCATACACTTACAAAAGTGAGAATTTTCGGTAGATGGTGGTATGAGGAGATTGAAGCCCCCCTAATTCCCTGCTCTTGCCAGTGCTATAGATAATGACCAAGCAAACAACTGATCTTGCGCATTACACTGTAGTACGGTTTCATTTTAAATTCGTTTGATCCCTGCAGGTCAGAACGGGAGTGATTGCCACCGCTTTCGTTGCAGAGCACAAAAGCGCCTTCAAGGGGCACCAAATCGCACAGCTTGACGGCGACCGACCTTACCGATATCCCATATCGGTCCCCTTCACCAAACATGTATACACTAAACGACCCGAATGATTAGGCAACGCGAACGACACATCATTAGGACTATATAGGCGAGAAAGCAGAGGAGTAAATGTGTATTAATGGGTCAATCGCTGCATCACGCGTGTGATTTACTGCGGCGGCAGTCGTCTAGTCTCATAAAGCGGCGCACGCAAGTCCACACAGTAGTGCATAATACACGCAGAATCGAGTGAATATGTCGTATTC